AAAAATCAAATCGACGCGTGTAGATTAACAAAGATTTTATACAATTAGAAAGACTGGTAATTTTAAATTTTAACAAGCAGTGTAACAGCTACGTGAGTGATACACACCTGATGATGGCCATTTAGGGCCGAAACATGTAGTGTGGAGGAGGAAAAGAAGTAAAAACTACAATAAAATTTGTTGCACTTAAGACGATATTTATCCATATATATTCTGGACTAAAATTTACATACTGCTACCTATGACAGTTGCATAGTGGTGACTCTGCCATTGTCATTGATTGAGGTAAAAATACACTGTAATGGGTATTAAACATTTGTAATTTGCATCTGTTTAATGTTCATACACAGATGATTTAATTGTGGCATGATGAGGGGCCCTCAGGTATGCAATGAGTGGCTAGGGGGTTCACAGACACGAAAATTTTGACAGCCACTGCACAATAAGTCATGGGGAGATGACAGGAATCTTGCCATTCTTAACAAGCACAGTTATTATAATAGCAATACCTTAGCACTGAAAACTTCATACTATAATTAAACTGTATTTAATCTATAAACAATAAAAAATTAAAAGATTGCATGCTGAATTATTTTAATAGGCATTACATTAAAGTTTATTTATATTGTTAATTTTGTACCATCCACCATGAGTTCTTTCTAAAGAGACTTTTTGATCCTTTGCATTTCAGTCATGCTCTTTCATTGTCCCTCAATGCATACAAAACTTCAGATCATGCATCAGTCCAATGCCACTCAGTAATGTTATAAACTGAAAATACAAATGGAACATGACATCCACCAGAAACACTTGGGGCACATACTTGTAACTGCATGATCTGTACTTTCGCACACTAAAGGAGATCTAAAAGTTTGTGACGATGGTGTAGGCACATACTTGTAACTGCATGATCTGCACTTCCGCATACTAAAGGAGATCTAAAAGTTTGTGACGATGGTGTATTAGTACAAATAATATGTTCCTGGACATTGTCCATCGCCCTGTCTTTACCTAAAACACTGTTCTGTTCATATTACAAACACAACGTTTCAGAGACTGGATTCTCTGTCTTCAGGTAAAACCTACTCAGTTGGGTCCAATCGATACAGCTAGTCCCTATCTCTGGACCTGGACACTAAATGGGAAGTAAATAAACAGTGTAAAAACATAATAGCAACCAAGCAATATCTACCCTGAAATCCACCTTGGATGTCAAGTATAATGAAATGGGAGATTTGAATACACCTTGCGGTTACCCTAATTATCATTCAATTCCATAGGCCCATCATCTACATTAATGTATGAAAAATTTTAGGAAATACATACCTGCTCTCCAGTTCCACTGTACATGCATCCTACTATGTTGTCCAGCAAATTGATGTCAAGCTTCTGGTTGAAATCCAGAAGTTTGGAGGCTTGTTCAGCAAGAGTCGCCATTCAGACTGAGAAACTGGAAGATATTCCAATCATGACAAATCACAACAAACAGAAATATACGCTGACTCAATTGTTCTCACATAATTACTGTATGTGTATTTAAGCGAATCTGTAACCACTAGTGCGAAATCATAAACCTAAGCACGACTAACTCACATATCCAAGTTTCCACCACTCACTTTTGTATTTTCAGATCAGAAGCAGCTTAAACTCTGCCGTTTTGATGGCCTGCGAACAATCATTCCTTTCCCAGCCACCTCTTTTCCTTCACAAGAGAAAAAAATACAATTAAAATACACGACACATAACCTGGAAGATGCATTTAGGTTAAGATATTATTTACATTCACAGATTTTACAAGGTTAAATGAGACAAGTAAACTGATTTCAATTAAGCCAGGATAATTACAAACAACTCACAGCCAAGATACTACACTAATCAGTATCTTCGTTTAGTAAAGACTATAATCCTAATCCACACCCTGTTTAAAGAACTTTGTCACTAATTTCACACTGAATACATTCCTATATTCAGATTTGTGAGAGTAATTTCCTGAAGAATATCAATAATATTAGTATCTACATCAAAAAATACTTCATATGATATATTCCTTGTGTGTCAGTCACAAGTAATTATGTTTGTAACACCGACAACACAACCGTTGAACACACATTCCCATCTTCCCGCGCGGTATGCACCTCACCGCCGCTCTTGCACGAGGCAGTCACTAACGAGCCAAAATGGCGGCTTCCGGAAAAGGAATGGTTCCTGTTAATACAGTACTCTTATTTCGTTAAATTACTCAGTTGCCGCAAAGTATGTACGATTTTTACAAACCACCGCAGGCTTAGTGCTTTTGTAACCAACCTCTCACGCAGATGGTTATGCAGAACAAATCTGGGCCTATTCTTTATATCAGAAATGGCGCCTGCGTCCGCAAAATGCTACAGGTTTAGAGGCTTTTCTGTAAATAAAAAATTCTAAATTGATGGCAGAACCATCTGAATTCCTCTCTAAAGCGCCGTCAAATATGGAAACTCTTCGCAAAGATAAGAAACCTGCAAATTTTCGAAAATAATATCAAGATGGCGACTCCAGAATACCTCTAAGATTAGATATAGAGTTCATGATTGGACGACTAAAAATTTCTCTTTGCCAATGACTTAACGGCTAAGTAACAAATTTACATGACGTATTCATGACGTCACACATACACGTGTCCACGGAAATATACACAATATAATATCGCTTGTCCTGTTGAATTTCAAATTTTCGTACTTCAGTGATAAAAATTCCGTTATCCTCGGTTGGGTCTCTTCTGGATCTTGTAATATGATTACATGATGCGATGTAAGTTCCATAAGTAGTCAAGGACCCTCCAATTCCGGTCTTATTTGTGTCCATGCGAATATCACTTTGCAATTACAATCAGACAGTGGGATAAATAAATAATATTATATTGTTATTGTAATATTATTGTAACTTTTTAATCACATCCCAGAGATACTTTTAAAACACTCAAAATGAAAGTTTTCCGATATGTAACACCACGTGGTTTGGTAGGTACCAACATTTTGACAGAACTTGCTGCTTCCATGCTCAATATAGACCGTCTTCCATCCTGATGATGTGGCAGGTTCCTTCAAACGTTGGTATCTATCTACCAGACTACACAGCATCACATCTCAGAAGGTCATAAACTTAATATTCATAACCATGAGATCCCAGAATCTTATACATACAGTACAAAGTTTTAAATAAGTGTCAGTTGTATGTATGTGACCTTTAAAACATGAAACATACTTGCAGAAATACTCCAGGTGTTCATACTTGATTCTTAGATTCCCACAGTTCTAGCTGCTAATTCTTCAGTCTTTGACCTCTATAGAAACATGTATATGCGATCAATAACCATTATATGTGGGACATACGATTCATTAATGACTTAGAAGACAGAACAGCTCTATCTCATACACTACAATTATGAAATCACAATTTCAATGACCAAAGTACAAATGTACAGTATCACTGTCAAGATATGTACCACAGCCATTTTCTTATTACCAAAATGTTATAAAATATTATGGTATCATATAGGACAGGCATGTCCAATGCTTTGATCGCGATCAACCAGTCGATCGCGGGATGATATTTGGTCGATCTCATACGTCCTTAAGGAAATTATATGCGAAAAGAATGTAAATTCACTTATAATATCACAAGTTGTCAATGAAAAACAATTCAATTCAAAAACACTTATAATATGATTATATTCCGATTATGAAGGGAAAATATATATTAAAGTAGTCTGTACTTTCAATGTATGTTGCTTTTACAACAAACACCATGCGCTGTGTTATTTTTACGAATATTTTTGCTTAAAGTNCTTAGACTAGTATTTACTTTGTGACACGTTCTATATCCAACAGTTTGTACTTTCAACTCATGTATGGATCAACTGAACTTGAAATAAATATGAATATGAATATGAATATGAAAAGAGAATCCTCAAAATGACACAGAGAAAACTAAACTAAAAACATATTAATATGGTAAATGATCAAAATAACCTGCATGCTATATGAAGTGATGCTCAAATTTTGACATATTTACACATCTTCAGCCCTTTGACAAAGTAAATGTGGTTCTCTGAATGTGTGTGTACCTTCCTATTAAATTATCAGTGGGGTTAATAAGTGAACTTCATGCTGACAAATTTTTAAAGATTATAATATTTTAACTTTGGCAGCGCTACACATTTTGGAAGTGACATGTTTTATTAAAAAATATAAAGACTCGTGGTGGCAATAAATGTGGACATCCATAATTACAACATGCGAAGACAACTAAATTTACATGTAAATCATTGCAATACAGTTCTTTTTAAGAAAAGTGTTATAAATATGGGTATCACCTTGTATAATAAGGTCCCTGAGCAGATAAAATAAAAATAAAAATTTGAACTCTTTTAAGACGGACTCAAATCCTTGCTGTTGAAACATTCCGTTTATTTCATTGATGAATTTATGTCCCTACAATTCTGAAGTGAGTGTGTTATGGTTTTATGCTATGACAAATATCTTGTCCTCACTTAATCTATAAAAGAAAATGTTGGATTTCTTTTGGTTTTGAATTATTGAAAGTGGGATGATGTATTGTGTGAAATCTGTAGGTCATTAAGTTTCATAGCATTGCTGACTCATGTATATGTACGAGTATGTTATTTTAATATGTAGTAATTGGCTTGTTCTATATCCAGAGGTTGTATCTCCAAATACGGATTCTCAGAACAAATAAATTGATTGATTGATTCCTAATGTCAAATTCCATATTTATAAGTTAAAGTAATGCAGATCAGTGGTCCCTGAATATGAAATCTCAAGCTCTGAAGATAGTGGCCCTTCAGATGGGACCCGGAAAACAAAATTGGGATTTTTTTGAAAATACTTGAACCGATACATTTAAATTTCAGTACTTAATGGAGCCAAAGTGTCTAAATCAAACAGCATATGCAGGATCTTCAGGAAAATAATGGTACATTCTCTAGTGGCCTAATGCATACAAGATAATAAATGTGCAATGTTCCTGTGTCAGTTATTTTCATTTGTCTTCTAAAGTAAAAGGAAATGGTAAAGAACTGATGATACAGACCACTATGAGCCTTACCCTTCTGCAGTAGATGCAGGTGAGTGGTGCAGGGCATTTGGTACCTACTGGATATAAAGCTATATGGACACTATTGCCTATCTGGACCAGGATTCAAACATATCTCCAATCATCTAGCCCATAGCCAAATTACACCAACTGGCATAGTCTTGTGACAGCAATAACAGATGATTTTAAAATATAAGTATTTTCGCCCTATACAAAGCCCTATCTGGAAAATTTTCTGAATTTTTAAATAGACTAGAGTCCATCCTTAATATACTGCATGCCCCAAAAATTAAATATAAAATATCTTGTGAACAATAACAGGAAAAAATGTTTAAACTCTCTGCTACTATCCTACAGTCTCTCCAGTACTGTAAACTTTCCAACAAGAATTAAAAATATCATATCACCAACTGATAATATTTTCATTGATAGTTCAAAATTAGAAACACAGATTCTTACAACTACAACTATCTCAAATGGTTTGTCCTATGAAGCACAACTCTTAGAGATCCTTTAATTTGGAGCCTCAGAACCAACAACAGCATCTGATAAGGAAAATAGACAATCACTCGATGGCTGACTTTGTTATGAAATTAAGCTATGAAACATGGGATCCTGTATTCGTTAATGTTGACATTGACACTAAATTTAATTCCCTTCTCAACACTTACTTAAGGTTATTTACTCAAGCCTTCCTTTTAAAGAAGCCAAGAACACAGCCACAAATAACACCTGGATAATAAAAAAAAAGTAAAAAGTAAAGGTATCCCTGTAACAGGCCGTGGAGGCCCATAGGGTTGTGAGATTTTGAGGTTCCCATATTTTCTACACAATCGGCTGATAGATGGCGGCAAGATTGTCAGCCCAACATGCCAGCCACACTTTCACCCCCAAGAATATTCCTGGTACTCATTTCTGTCAGAGGTTGAGTCGACCCCAGGGCCATAGTGCGGCAGGAAGAATTAGGTCAATTAAAAACCCAATGACCTCATCGGAACTTGAACCCACAACCTTCCGGCTTGTAGCATAGTACCCCTATAGGAAGAAAAAGGGAACTTCATCTGACCAGCAGGGACAGTCATGATCCAAAGCTAAAATGTCACTTCAAGCTATATGGCAAAGTTTTGTCAAATGTCATTTTGGAAGCTAAATGTTCCCCTGTTGATGTTGATGGCACGGTATCACGTGTTCCATTGGCAGACCACGTGGCAATAACACTTCCTGCAGCTCTCTTATTGTCGCGTGATGTCACTACAAATTCGTATGGGATCTGATCCTCCATTACATGTGTGCAATTATTATGCTGATAAGTTGTTTACTGTGCCATAACCTAGAAATGTCTCTCTATATGCTACAATACTTATGGTGGTCAATCAGAACCACAGGCAGGGTAAAGGTCATAGAAGCAGATGGCATGTTCCTCTGAAACACTAATATCCACATACAGTACTACATGGAGTCATAACCCAGGAGACAACAATCTGAACTCTTTTAAGTTCAATGGCCAATATTGGCTGTGCCTGCCATAATACTACTGCATTCAATTGAGTGATATCAAGGCTTTCCACAGCAATTTTATGGGAGAATGCACTGCTAAACTTTCAAACTATACGAGTATATGTTACCATCAACATCATTGTCTTCACAACTTCCATAAAAGTAGTAAGAAACTGTTACTGCATTCAGAGAATAAAGATTAATCCTGAAGGAATATAATACTGTTCTGCATAATTTCACAGAATCACAATGAAAAGAAAACAAATAGAATGGTCTGGAAGAACTCCATGCAAGTGGAAGGAAGACATTTCTCTCCAAGGACAACTTGGTTACTTCTTCTCTCTTCCCTACTCCCAAGTTCACATGCCCCCTCCCCCCAAGGGAAACACACAATGACCCTGACAGATGCTGTTTCATCCTTAAAACATCAAATTTCTGAAGAGAACTGTTCTTTCTCATTATCCTGTGTGGGCAGTTCCCACATCACCCCCCCCCCACGGAGATGGTTGCTCAGCTGTTGAAGCGATCAGGAAAATGTACATGACGTCCGGAGCGTGTAGTTCGTTGTACAGGCTGTGGTGGCACAGTATGAGGAATCACCACTTCAGCATCTTCACAGACCAGTACCAACAGCTGAGCAACCATCTCTGTGGGGGGTTATGTGGGAACAGCCCACATTCAAGCAAGGGTGACAATGCAAGCGTCATTGCTTAGAATGTGGGCAGTTGCCACACCTGTTTCCCACCTGTGATGAGAAAACAAAGCATGTCCCTTAAGAGGGCTGTTTCGCTCCCATCTTTCCCACTGGCCTGAATCAGGTTCCTCTTCCTTAGGTCTCAGTGAAAGTTTTCTTGCAACTTGTGTACACAAATCAACCAGTTCCTCAAACCTACACACTTAACCCTGAAGATGGAGGTAGCATGTTCCTCTGTAACGCTGGTATCCCCCTAGGTTACACAGTGTCACAGCCCAGAAGACCACAATCTGAACAATCACTGGTATGAAAACTTCAGAACTTGTACATTTATTTTTCAAATTTACCCTTCACACAACAAGCAACTCTGCCAAGTGTCACAGACAGAATGCTGCTCCAGCTGAATTGGCTGTTTCTGGGTATAGCAATGCACGGGAACTGTTTCTCCTCCTCTTCTACCGAGGATGATAATCAAAATCGAAGTCCAGTTAAGTGAAAAACAGCAAATGATACTGTCACATGTATCCAGGGTAATGTGACTAATAATTGTGGATTCAACATTTGATGACTGGATTTGACGTCACAATCACAATTACACTGGATTGTAACAGTTCGCAAATTTAACTCCTGGATAATGAATCCCTCACTGCTGTCTGCATCTTGCACCTCTGGTCTTCTCAAGTTCTGCTTTTCCTTGCCTTTGCTGCTGCTAATTTATATTTCTCTGGCATACCAAGTAGGGATCACAATCTCCAAGCGTTCCTGCTCGTGCATCTGATCTAACTGCCCATTGCTGTATGTGTTGCTTGGGAGAGGTTTATTTAGAAGTCATTACCATGGATATGTCTTCAATAGTGCCATCAAAACCCAAAGTAATGGTGCATTTTGTGTTACCACGGGAACGTGCTCTGCAAAGTCTCATCCAGCAGATGGGCACGTTGCAGCTTTCAGGCTGAGTGTCACATTATTTTATGGGTGTAAAACAGAAGGCTTGACACATGAACAAATAAAAATATTACATACAAAACATTTTGATTTTTGGGGGGGGGGGATTAAACTGAGATTTCATAATACAGAACATAACCATAAACTCGACAGACACGCTCTGTAAAACAGATATGGAGGGGACTGGATAGGGGTACATATGATACAATTCCTGATACCAAGTGTTTATTAAACCTAAGCATACACAATATACTACGTGAAACCATCACATGAACTGATGATCTGCTCACACATTGAGATTTTTGTCTATTTTTTTCCATTTGTTAACAGTATTTCTTCCAGTACCCATATGTTTTTCTGTCATTATGAAACATGATCTCAGAACCAATGTACATATTAAATAAACAGGATATTTTAATTTATTAAAGATGGTATCCCATTTAACTGTTCACAGTGCATATCTCAAGCATACATTGGAGTTCACTTATAACATCTGTATGAATATTTAAACACTTTTACTTACTGGTTAGTTAGAATTTGCTTTGGTGTATATTGACAATAACATTACTAACTGAACACCTAAGCATTTCTAACATTAAATGAGGCTTGCTTATCATTCATGCACAGGTAGCATAATTTTAAAAAAACATTAGTACAAGTCATTCATTTTCTCAGTGTTGAAATATTACTATGCACAAGTAATAAATGCATAATTCTGTCACTTAACGCTTGTGTAATTTAAGTAGGGTAACTTTCAATGAATAGCTATCAGGCCTGATTCAAGTAGTTTCTGTATCTTGGCAGCAATGTCTGGATTCTTCAAATGGCTGAAATAAAGAGACAAGAAAATAAATGCTTTGATAATTAAGACAGGCATAACACATGTGATAACTCTGCCACTGATGACCCAAAGGTGTGCTCACTTGTGCCACTCTTCCTGTAAACTGTGCCATGTTATAGTACAGGGTGCTTCATGTCCCCTTATCACAGACCTTACAGTTATTCACTCTGGGATATCAAAATTCTGCATGTGTAAAAGAAACCTTGCAATATCTACCAAATAAAGTAGATGACACAATAAGAATTTAAGATTAATTACAAGATTAAGTTGGAAGGTGTCCACCGTTTTAGTTCAATTTAAAATTATGAAGTGTTTTGGAAGTTTGATCTGCTTCCAAAATGTCATATACAAATTTATCAAAGACAATGGATAACATCAAATATAATAATTTTATAATCAATTATAGACCACCATAACAAACCTTTACAGATCACTAAGAATCTGAAATCTTGAAGACTTGTACATAATTCCATGAAGCTACTTGCTACTTGCACCAAATGTGCATTCAACATGAGAACATTTTTTATAAGTAGCAGCATTCATAATCTTAATTCCTTTAGTTTTATTATCATCCATACCAAATAGCTAGCTATTCTAATACTGCATCATTCTGTGTATACCTACACATCTTGTCATGGACTCTGCCTGAAATGGAATGTGTCCAAATGTAGTACTGAACATTACATGTAGTTTCTTCACTTCAAATTTAATTCTGGGATATGATGCTGTGTAGTTGTGGAGACTGGTATGTTTGGGAGGAATCTGCTATGTCCATCTTCTAAGATGAAGATTAAGTTGGAAGAGTTTTCCAAAACACTGGTACCCATCTAGCAAACTACATACCATTACAGAGCACTTGATATCACATGATATTTTGGCTGAAAAGTTACGTTTCTAATCTGTTTCTGTTCTCATAAATTTCACTTATCTGCCAGAACCACAGATCAATTTTACTTACTCCTGCAAGGCCTTGGGATCATTCTGCATCTGCTCAAGGATAATTCTCATGGCTGGATCACGCATGATAGCCTGAACCTCTGGATCAGCCATAGCACGCTTACGAACCTCTTCAGGGTTCGAGTTCACTGCCACCGAACAAGACCTATAGCCTTCCAGCGCTTCCTGAAACATTCGTGGTTCACTTGGTAAGCAATGTCAGCCACTCTGTGAAGTTGACCAGAAGAGGGCATAGCATTCGTACTTACTACATTGGTGGAGTCAAGGGTCAGAGCCTTCTGGTATGCTGAAATGGCTTTGCTGTGCTGTTGCATGCCTTGAAGAATTTTCCCCTTTCTAATCCATCCTTTAACTGCAACAAAACAGTTTCATTATTTCTCTTTAGTAATTATCAACATGATTCACCCTTCTGAGTATCAGACATAGGTATTTTACTACAGGCATTATAGAATAGTATCCTTGTATCATTTAAGTTCCTCATGTTAATTTAGTCCCCCAATGTTCAACTCTTAGTATCTACACTGGAAATAACTTAAAATTAAATATATGGTTTGCAAAATATTCATCATTCCTGTTCAATATCCTCTTAATGTATGCTAATTGACTTTGTTATTATATAATACTAGCCCAACAGTCCATACTTCAGTGGAAGTCTCACAGTTTGTTAGACAATCTTTCACACTATTAACTTCCAATGCTGTCTCTCGTATTCCTTCCCAGTCCTACATGTTATCAAACGTGTTGAGGTTGTTGAGGTACACACACACACAGTTAATTGTACACCATCTCTTTTATGTAGTACACCACACTTCACACGTCCACCCACAGATATACATTTTCAACACTCAAAGAACAGATATTGTGCACTTGATGCTTGTTCACTACCTACATTACAATTACATTACATTACAATGTGTTAACCCTTGACAACTGGTAAGTATGGTAAGCTGAAACTGTGTAACGACAATAAACCTCAAATGTGAGAGAGAGAGACGTGCATGCACACACAGATATTGCTCAAAATTCTGGGTAACAAACAATGATCAAAACGTCGAAGAGCAGAAAAAATTCTGAAAATAAAGTCTAAGAAACACAAATGCAGGACTTTTTTTTTTTTCAAAACAGACAACACAGTGGAAATATTAAACTCATGTAAAAGGGTTTGCATAATGGAGCTGTGAGAGTAAAATTACTGGCGCATTTATAAACACAGCAAAAGAGATTTAAGACTTCACAAGCAATACAACAGTCAAAATAATGACATGAGAGATGTAAGCCAGAACAGTAGAATAAGAAGAGGTGGCCACTGCTATGCAACAGCACAGGAATTGTTGGAAGCAGTGCTTCCTGTGTGACTGGTGTCAGCAGAAGACTGAAGACAGGGACAAATATATTGTGACATGGATGGCGAAACAAGAAGTAGGGGTCACGTGAACTCTGGATTTCCACAAGTGACATCACATAATCCTACACCTATCATTACGCAACGCTCGGTAAACACCCCTCCATGCGAGGCTGCGACATCACGCAACAGACGACTCCATGCAGCGACTATTGCTAGGCAATGGGTAGGTAGAAACACCTGAGAACAATACCTGATATATGTTGCCGAGCAGCAAGGTGTTCTCTATGTTGTCCATGCCGAGCCTAAATAAGGAGCAGCGAACACTATTCAGGAGTAGTGAGTATTGAGCCAGTTACTAGAGAGAGAGTAACCAGTCAGTTGCAGTCTAGCATTTGCTGGGGTGAGTTGAAGTCCACTGTTATTGAGTGAATGCAAATAACGACAGGAGAAGTATTTGCAATATTGCTGATGGCAGTAACTGTGTAATTGTGAGAGTGAGTGTGCAATAAATTCGCTATATCCAAAATGGCGTGAAGTTATTTGTCACGTGATACACCCAACACATGACAGTATGTTCTGAAGTTGCTTCAGGCCTATATTCACACGTGACACAGAAACATGCAGACAGACCAAGGCACTCAGGCAAGAATACTTCAGAAGATGTGTGAACATATAACAACATGGCATGGGCATGTTTTAGGAATGAATGAAGATAAAATCCCCAAGAAGGCTTGAAATACAAAACCAACCAAGAAACTGAGTTATAGGGAAGCTGAGATCAAAACAGGAATAGTAGATCATGAAAAATGTCATGCAAAAGCAAGAACATGGAAGGAGTGGGGAGGAGCCTTAAGAAGACACACAGACTGGCCACATAAAAGTGGGAACTCTGATCGTAAAAGATATGAAACAAAAATGTTTTCATTCAAAGGTATAGGAAGGTTTCAAAGCAACATATCTTGTATATAACACAGAAACTGTTAATGGCATCTGAAGCTGAACAGTAAAACTCGCTTCTTACTAAATTTTGGGTCCAGTTCAACACATTTCTCACAGTCTTTCAGTCCAAGATCAAAGGCAGCTAGTTTTGTGTAACAGGCAGCCCTGTTGCTGTAGTACTTGGGGTCATCAGGGTTCCGCTTAATAGCCTCAGTGTAGTGCTTCATAGCTGTTGCATAGTCACCTGAAAGAAATTTGTCAACACTTCTTAACAATCTGAACTGAGAGAAAGAGAAAAAGGGCCCAAGTACAATTATTTATACCTTCAGGCAGAAATGTTCATACTGAATGTGTATCAGGTACACAGTGCGGAATGTGATAATGAAAAATGAATTGTGACAACAAAGGGATCACTGCTGGGGTATCAGTGGAAACCTAAACCATCTTCTGTTGTTGCTATAATATGAGAGAATACCCAAATTATATCATAGCATGTAAATCCGTTACTAGGCAATGATCATGAAACAACGAGACAACAGTCACTGCTAAGCAGCAGATTCTTAACCAGCAACAACTGAACTACAACAATGAGAAATGGGGTTTTATAAGGTGTCAGTCCCAAGGGTTTATAAGTGGGGCAAAATTTAGAGGTCAGTTCAGTTCTGGGATATTCGCCAGATGGTAAGTACACAAGCAGAGGGCACTGTTAAGATCCATTACCCAGAAATGACTAGTGAAAACATCGAAGACTTTATGTGTGCTGCGGTTACAGTGATCTTTGGAGTGTGTAAACCAGTGAGGCTCTTATACTTGTGTTTATATGTGGTCAATAAATCAAGTCAACAATCCAAACCCTGTCTATAGTCACACGCATACACGTATTTTCTGTCATTACGAGTACTAGGATATAGAGAAAAACACAAAGTATCTTCTACCAACTGTATGTTCATTCAAAATTTTACTTTCTTATGCAAGAGCAGTATGCCAAGACAATCCCAGGCACATCTGTTATTACAATATTTCATACCAAAGCCATCTGGCATCATTTGATACACATGGTGTGGCTTCTGCTATGTGTGACCCTCAAAATGAACAATGTAATGAGGTTTGTAAGATCTTGTTTCATTCACACAGAACTGCTATCTCAGAGCTCCCACTGTCCTCTGGTTATTTGTTACAGGAGAAGAAACGGACCACGAGACAGCAAGCTTTGCATAAAACGCTACTTTAGCCAAACAACCCTTCTTCACACATTTTGTTAAATTAATTACACCACCTTTTGGATCAACATATAGTACTATGTATGTGAGGTAGCTTTCAACAAGCTAACATACATCAAATGTAAACATGAAGCTAGAGTGGCAGCCACTCACACTGAACCAAGTGCTAGCCAATCAGCATGGGCTACGGCAGCTCCAATGTGCACTGGTTTGTGTGCTGCCTAGTGAAAACACACTGCTAAGCTCAATAAGCTGGCTTCCGCAGAGACATTCTGGGTTTAGCAGCATATGGTTCCTAGCTTGTGACTGGCAAATAGCATGTCAAAGGTACATTGTCGCTAGATGGTGCACAAATCAATGGGCGTTGGAGCTGCCATGGTTCACGCTGATTGGCTAGCACTTGGTTCAATATAGGTGGCCCCCACACTAGATCCACACTTACATATTTGGATAATTTCAATCCACTTGCTTCATAGTAATTAGCAAACATACACAATTTTGAAAACATCACAGAAGTTCTGACCATTGACACAAAAAATTTAATTAATTTTGTGCGCAGATCAGTCTTTCTCATTTAAAAAGTAAATAACTTCCTTTAGCAATAGAGGTGTACTGTGCAACAGTGTTGTTTAAAATACTTAATCAATATTAACCTTCAGCTTTATTTACACTGTCACACAGCATGGAGTGACTAGAGACAGGGTTTTGGACAAATGGATTTGCTGACCATTTTTATGGGTCATATCTGCAAACTAACACTACAGCTATTTCCACACTTTACTAAACCAAGGTAAGTCTTTTCCAGCTAGCAGTGTTTTCACTAGTAGCTGCCTGGTAACAGCTTCTAACAGTGGCCATTCCTCTGCTTTCAGGCTCAAGTCCTCTCAGAGTGGCAGCTCCTTTCCAACTGCCTATTCTTGCTTCAATTGTCCTCCTTACAACCACTTTGCACATGGGCTGAGCAGAAAACACCGCTTCCATCAGAACCTCTATTGTCGGATGTGTATCTGTTGCCATGGGAATGTGTTTACCGAACAAACAGCTCTACATGCTATAATACTACAAACTGTACTTTCTGTCGTATTCAACTGACACTTCCAAACTCACTTGTACAGAGATAATAATTTTACTGTACATCTCAAGATTTGTGACAACAGCCTGGTACACTCACACAGTGTTTTTAGTATTGCTAGTAGCCTGCATACTGTATACAGTGAGTCAACAAATTACCATGCAGAGCAAAGCAGAGTCAAAATTCATTTCAGGGTCATAAACCTCATTCCAAACTGTACAAATGACAAAGGCTGCATTACACATATGTAATCCAGTGATAAGCACCAATATGCAAGTTACAAACCATGCTTAAACAGCTCATTTCCTTTCTCCTTTTCCTCCTCAGCTTTCACAGGATCAATATATGCCCTTCTCTCTTCTTCTTTTATTTGCTTCTCAACCTCAGAGAGCAATGCCTTTATTTCTGGAGTGCGAAATTCTGACATTGACTTTTCATATGCTGTCTTCGCACTTTTCAAGTCCTGAAAATGAATAACAGCTGATATTATGTATTTATGGGGGCACACGGTAGTGTAGTTGGTTGAGGCACTATGCTACAAGCCAGGTCGCGGGATAGAATCCCGATGAGGTGGATTTTTTCGATTTACCTAATCCTTCCAGCCTCACTATGGTCTTGGGGTCAACTCACCCTCCAACAGAAATGAGTACCAGGAATATTCTTGGGGGTAAAGGGTGGCCGGCGAGTAAGGTTGACCATACCACCATCTGTGAGCCGACTGTCTAGAAAATGTGGGACCCTCAACATCTCACAACCCTATGGGCCTCCATGGCCTGTTACAGGGATAGCTTTACTTTTTACTTTACTTATGTATTTATACCTTACTATTCAATAAAATACAAAACCAAGTTATCAAGTTAAAATCTCATGAAGAAATGTATACTAAAATAAGGCGTACACAGGCAAAACATTACCACAATATTTGTCCCACTTGTTGAAATTCCTAACCACAATTACATCTCTACCTGTCAAATAAATAACCACACGGCATTAAGTGATCTTACCCCTAGTTTCCGGTGAGAATTGCCAATTCTAGAAAATGCCTTTGCAATCAACTTAAAATCAGCTCTGTTCTCTCTACCAACTTCAATTGCTTTCTCACATTGTTCAATACACTTCTTGTATTCCTTCTGTTCAAAGTATACAGCTGAAATTAAAAAATCAGATTGAACATTTATATGTAGATATACAGACTGATTCAAAGTCATACAGCCAGACTCTTCGAGGTTGTCGAGGAGATAACTTAGAGCAGAAAATGAACATAAACTGTTAATTCATCACCCTCATCTTTTCAGAAAAAGCAATTATCTAACGACATATACGTTCAGTTATTTACATTTAACATTAGTTATTTTTAATTACAATGAATTTAAAGCAGAGGTTCTGTAATTACTACTACTTTTCAGTTCACGATACATTTAAGACAAATGTCTGACTGTGCAGTGCAGACTCACACACACACTTCTATGTACTTCTTTGTAACAACCTCTCAAGTTATCTCTCCCAGCTTGCATGTGCACTTCACAGCAATGCTGAATTCAGTCCCTGACAGGAAGCTGAGACCTAGAACAACCTGGTTCAGTTCCTGTCACAGTGCTACCAGGATGCATTCAATCAGGTTATTTCAAAATTGTACATAAAATAGCATGAAGGTTGCTCTGATGCACCATCATCGCAACCACAACCAAGAGCTGCACAGCACTTTTTTGAGCCACAGCCTTTCTTAGAAGATTCTGTCAGACTGCAACTGGTTTTCACTTCTCTGGAGTTTGGAACAACAATTTTTTCCCCGAGCAAGGTCACTGGGCTTGCCTCCAACCCCAACCTACAGGACCAGGTCCTTGTACTTATTTTCTCCAGTGACAGTGGTCCAGTTATAGCTCCAAGCACTTGGTTCCCTTTCCGTCGCCTTCTACAACTTGCAGGGCTATGGCGGAGACATTCTGAACTAGGCAACTCCTGAACCTAAGTCAGAAGTGTTCTCACTGGGAGACTCAAACCGAGCACCACCTCAATATGAGTCAGATGCACTGCTGCACGAGACAACTTGCTCCATAATAAACGCTAGAGAATTACAAACTGAGGTTATGGAGAGTTCAGATGCCATGTAATCCGCTGAAAGCCAACTGATGTTTCAGATGAACATGTTGCTTCCATCTACAGGATCGAAGAATAAGCGAAGCAAGAAATAAGTACAAAGCAGGGGGCAACTAGACCTCTGGCTTCTTGCTTGGCTTACTGTTTGACCCTGAAGATGGAAGCAACATGTTCATCCAAAATGCTGGTTGACTCTCAACCAGCTACACCACATCATTTCCCAGAAGAGAGAACTTTTCTAAGGTTATCAACACAGACAACAAGGTTACTACAATAGCTGACTTCCAAAATGGTACAGCAAAGAATAAGTATGTATGTGCAGAGTGAGTGTATTATTGAAAGACAGAGAAGACTGCAGAGTGCAAGCAGATGACTGTACTCTGTGATGGAAGGCACAGTGCTATGATGTGCAGTTTACTGTATTATAGTGTGACAAGTCAAACTGTTGTTGGGCAACAGGATGTGCAACGAGTTACCACAAAGACAAACTCTTGATAAACGGTTGGTTGCCAAGTTATACAGTAAGGAAAGCAGTGTTTCTCTGTGCCATGCCTAAATGAGCCAAAGTGCACTGGTTGCTATGCAGCGTTGCCCAGCAACGACTCTGTAAACACCGAAAAGCAAGGTGCATTTTCTGCTGTTCCACTGAGGGTTTATAAGAGACTGGAATGCCTGAGGAGTCAGTTGAAATGTAGCAGCCACCGAAGCAGTTAGTATTCAGAGTATTCGGTGGAGCAGAAGTCAGTCAGTCGCTGCAAGAAGAAGAACCGAACGTGTGGATAGAAGATTTTATGTCTGATAATCCAGTGATAGCGTGCGATAACTGAGAAGTCAGCCAGTGAAGATGTATTGTGTGCTGTAGTACAGTTATATTGGGAGTGTGTAATTCAGAGAGACTTGTATAGCTCCTGCATTATAAATACGTGAAGACTAGTGAAGATGGACTGTGAAGAGATTAGTGTGTAAACCCGCAACAGTGTATTTACTTGCAGGCTGTTAATAAAACCCAAGCAACAATCTGAACGGCGTCTTCAGTGGCCAAACACATTACAATATTTTCTTTACAATATCTTTTCAAATGGCAACTGGTATGAAGGGGGTTGGCAGGAAAACCATCACAAAGGAGTGGTTCTGCTTACCAGAGATTCCACAAAACCTCATGTGTACAATTTAGAACATTATGGTCTTGTGAAGATGGACTGTGAAGAGATTAGTGTGTAAACCCGCAACAGTGTTATAACCAATTGTATTTACTTGCAGGCTGTTAATAAAACCCAAGCAACAATCTGAACGGCGTCTTCAGTGGCCAAACACATTACAATATTTTCTTTACAATATCTTTTCAAATGGCAACTGGTATGAAGGGGGTTGGCAGGAAAACCATCACAAAGGAGTGGTTCTGCTTACCAGAGATTCCACAAAACCTCATGTGTACAATTTAGAACATTATGGTCTTGTTGGATTACACAGTCTGCTTGGTAGCTACCAATGTTTCTGTATTCTGATGACTGCAGCATGTTCCAACCCTCAGTAACACTCACCTGCTATGTTATTTAAATATGTTATATCACCCGAATCCAGTTCTATTGCCCGATTGTAGTGCTTCAGCGCTTCTTCAAAGTTTTTTTTCTTATACGCTTGGTTTCCTAATTCTTTTTCTTTCAGTGCCTAGAATCAGAAAAGGAAGATTGGTTTCATTTGCTGGTGCAATGCACAAACATACAGGTTGTAACTGTAAGCTGCATTTGGTTCAAGTGGCTATATTTATCCATCACTTGTTCAAAACACACTGGTGACAATCACTTGTAATTATCTGCAAGACCTGAAGCTTTGAGGGTGGCTACAACTGTCCCCATCATCAGGGGCTGATGTGACAGAAGGTTCACACCATCCCATGGCCCGTGGTCACAAATGGGTGCAAGCCAATGGGGTGCTATTTGGATAGTTTGTTTCTCATGGTCCTGTCTCCTGACTGGTCTGTATTAGCACTGCTTTTTCTGTCATACTGGTCACTGGGTACCAGGGTTCACTGAGGTTAAGTTGAAGTTTCTGGAGTGGAGCCTGATCCCAATAGCCTCCTTTATTAAGCAGCACATGTACCCCAGTGCTTTATTGAGTGTGGTGGTACTGCTGATTTATCTGACTGCATCTTGTATTGCTTCTTCCACCTGGTCTGAATGGTTCTGCCTGTCCGCAATGCATCCCATTAAACTCTGTATCTCTGACCATGTGAATTATCTTAATGCCCTTATTTGTTTGGAGAGAATCCTTCTGATTTTGTTGGAGAGAGCTTGTTGATATTGAATTGAATTGAATTTATTTACATTCTATAAATCCTAAGCAGGTTAGTACCTTTGGATACAGAACAAGTCAAAAGGTTACATACATAAGTACAGGCAATTTTAGCTTAAAAATTAATATAACTTAATTTTACATCATTCTCTATTTACATTGAAGTATTCATCTAAAGAGTAGAAGGAATGAGCATGTAGATAATTCTTTAACTCTGATTTAAACTTTTTAGTATCATTGCCCAAGTTTTTAATACTTTGTGGCAGATTGTTGAACACTTTTATGCCAGTAAAGTAGACTCCTTTTTGATATACTGATAAAGTTGATGAGGGTAGGTGGAAGTTATATTTTTGTCTAGTATTCATGTTATAGACATCAGAATTTAATTTGAATTTATCTTTGTTGTAAAAAACAAATAAGAGAAGCGATAATATGTATTGCGATTGAAGAGGTAGAATTTTTAATTTCTTAAATAATTCTCTACATGAATCTCTACTTCTACATCCTGTAATGATTCTAATTATATTCTTTTGTATTTTAAAAATTATTACACTATGTGAAGAGTTCCCCCAAAATATTAATCCATAGTTCATAATAGAATGAAAGTAGGCATGGTAAACCATCTTCAATGTTTCCTGTGACATAAAAGGCTTAATTGATCTCATCGCATAGCAAGCTGCATTTAATTTAGGTATAATTTGTTCAATATGTATTTTCCAAGACAGTGTACTGTCTACATGTATTCCAAGGAATTTTGTATCAAGTACTTTACAGATTAATTTGTTGGCATAACTGATGTCCAGATCAATTTGGTGGTTGTTTTTAGTTGTGAATGATATGTAATGGGTTTTATCAAAATTTAATGAGAGTAAATTGGCTTCGAACCATCTGTTTAAGGCTTCAAATACAATATTTATGTCATTTTTAAAGTTTTCAAATTTAGAGTTCTTAAATATTATACTAGTGTCATCTGCATATAGAATTGGTTTAGATTTATTGTTGATGGTTTTAGATAGATCATTTATGTAGAGAAGAAAAAGTAAGGGACCTAAAATTGATCCTTGTGGAACACCGTGCTTTATAATTCCCCAGTTTGAAAATGCATTATGACTGGAGTTTTTATTATTTATTTCAACTCTTTGATACCTGTTTTTGAGGTATGATTTGATCCATTCATTAGCTTTGCCAGTTATTCCATAGAAATTTAATTTCGATAGTAAGATATCATGATTAACACAATCGAAAGCTTTTGCTAGATCACAGAAAATCCCTCCCACAATTAATCTGTCATTGAGAGCACTTAAAATATCGTTAGTTAGTTCATAGGTTGCTTTTTCTGTTGTTAGGTCTTTCCTAAATCCAAATTGCTCTTTGACTAATATGTTGTTAGAATTTAAGTGTTCAAGTAGTCTATTATACATAACTTTTTCAAAGACTTTTGAGAATGAAGTCAATATGGATATTGGTCTGTAATTAGAGATGCATTTTCTCTCTCCTTTTTTAAAAAGTGGTTTCATTACAGCGTATTTTAAGCGTTGAGGAAAAGTACCTGATGATAAAGATTTATTACATAGATGATTCAAGGGTGAACTGATGTAAACAGAGCTTGCTTTAAGTAATTTGGTAGAGATTTCATCATATCCATGTGAATTTTTGGGCTTAAGGGATTTAATAATGTTTTCAATTTCCTTCCTTGTTGAGAATTTGAGATTGATATTTGGAAATGAATTGTTAAAGGCACGAGACAGATAGTATATTGGATTATTATTATTATTATTATTATTATTATTATTATTATTATTGGAATATGTTTTCTCAGCTAATGAAAGGAAATATTCATTAAATGCACTTGCGATAGCTTGTGGATTGTTAGTGGACTTCCCTTCAATATTCAAACTTTGTACGTCTTCATTAACAGATTTCTTTCCTGATTCAACTTTCACAATATCCCAGGTGGTTTTAATTTTATTGTTTGATTTTAGAATTTGGCTGTTATAGTTATTCTGTTTGGCTTCTTTAATGACTTTTGACAAAATTTTACAGTACATTTTGTAGTGACTTTTTAGTCTTGGATCATTACTGTCCCTACTGGCCAAATATAGTTGTCTTTTGTGTTTACATGAAGTTTTTATTCCAATTGTTATCCAGGTGGATTTGTTTTTATTTTCATTTTTGACTATTTTTAAGGGAAAGCTTGAATAAAAGATCCTCAAGTATGTGTTCAGAAAGCAATTAAATTTAGAATCAATATTATTGCTGTCAAATACATTGTCCCATGATTCATTACTTAATTTTGTGACAAAATCTGCCATCGTATGCTTGTTGATTTTCCTTACTGTTTGATATTGTTGATTACTGGGCTGAAGGTCAATATTATTTATTTCTATGAGTTGAGCATCATGATCGGATAAGCCATTTATAAAGGGTCCTACAGTATAGTCTCTTAATTTTGAGTTATCAATGAATATATTATCTATCGCTGAACTAGAATTATTTTGAACTCTTGTGGGAAAGTTAACAGTACTGGAGAGATTGTAAGATGATAACAAAGAGTCTAAATTTAGTTTCCTATTACTGTCGATGAGATAGTTTATATTTATATCACCACAAATTATAAATTCAACTTTTGAACTATGCAGTACATTTAGGATGGTTTCTATCTATTTATAAAGTGATCGAAGTTTCCAGATGGTAATGTCACCATGCCTGTCAGCTTCTCTTTCTGCGTTTGGGGCAAGGGCACATATGACTGCATGGCTGCTACATCCTTTTCAAGCTTAGCAGTCAAGAAGCTGGCACACTGGTGCAGATACATGGACGACAGACCTGTTTTTTGGACACAGAAAGGAAGAGCTTCAGGGTTTCCTTCAACATCTTAACAGTATGTATGCCAACGTAAAGTTCATTATGGAAGTGGAACAAAACAAGACATTGTCCTTCCTAGAAGTCCTGGGGAGCACAAGACCATACGGCTTGCTGAGACACACTACACATAGGAGGCGCATACACACGGAACTCTACCTTCATAGAAATGGACTCTACTGCACACTCCTGTCCAATAAGTCAAGACCAATGAGGATAGCCTGGATGTGGAAATCAGCCGCCTAAACAGGCCATTTAGATGTAATGGTTACAGCAACCATGAGGTCATGCACGTGCTTGCCCCCAAACCAAGGCCTCAAACACAGAAAGAAAAGCTAGCAAGCGTAGCCATGATACCATGTCAACCAGCTGCCTCTATCAAAATCAGCAGGCTTCTTTCTGAACAAACATTCACACAGTTCACAAGCCTGTGAAGAAAAACATCCACATGGTCAGACCACTAAATGACAAGATAGGTCTAGAAGCTAATGGGATGTGTTGTGTCCTGTATGTTGGGCAGACAGGCAGAGCCACTGAGTCCAGACGTAAGAGGCATGCGAGACACACACACCTGGGCCAACCAGTTAAATCAGCAGTGGCAGAACACAAACATAAAACGGGCCACAACACTGAATTCAGCAATACCACCAAGCTGGATAGTGTCAGGCTACATGGACTGCTTAATAAAGGAGGCTAGCTATGAAGATCAGGCTCCACCCCACAAACTTCAAACAGGGACAGGGGTTTCAATCTCAGTCAATCCTGGTACCCAGTAACAAATATCTTGTTTTCTGGACTTCTGGGTGGCTCTCCAGTTGCTGCTTGGTATTTTCTTTCTTGGTTTTGTCTGTGTGGAGCATAAACTAAAATTTTAATTTAAATCTGAGACTAGTATCTTTTAGCTATGGGCTAGATGACTGAGGGATGAGTTTGAGTCCCGGGAGGGTCAAGAATTCTCTCCTCTCCACATTGTCCGGACCGGCTCTGTGGCCCACCCAGCTTCTTATCCAATGCGTGCCGGGGGTGAAACTGACCACCCACCCCCAACTAGTGTCAAGGTCAAGAAAACATGGATCTATACATCCACTCACCCCTTTGTCTTCATGGCATATGCTTAATTAGTTAAGTGCAGGGACAACTTTACTTACTTACCTACTTACTAATATCTTTTTACTAAAAATGGCAATGTGCCAATTTACACAGTGGAACATACTATACATGTTAACTACTTGATGATGGCTTCATACTACATGTAGTTGAAACATTTCACATCATGAATTAATTAACATGTCTATAGAGACTCTGTAACTAATTAATTGGCAACTCATCAACATCACTAGTGTGCTGCATAAATTATGTACATTATTGGTATGATAAATTATAATGTGACAGTGAAGCCTGTCAATATTTTCAAGTGCCTTTTGCCCTTGCTCTTTAAACACTGAAACATGTGTCCCTTAACAAATGGCAGGCTTGCCAAGGTCTGTCTGCATGTACGGTGCAAACTGAAAACAATATATATATGATATGATATATTCAAATGACCTTTTGTCCTTGCTCTTTGTACACCGAAAAATGAAGTGCCCTGAAATGAACAGTGAAATGATCAAGGATGGCCAGCTATATTTACCACTTGTCTTGCCTTCTCTTCATTCAAGGGCAGTATATACACATCCCTGGAGAAGGTGTCATGTCATTCAACATGTCTTCATTCTAAATTATCCACAAGAAATAAGAAATTAGCATAGGAAGGTTCAACCAGCTGTCTCTGGCATACATCCAACAGCACACTGTACTGCTCGCTAGCCAGACAACTTGAGGGGAAGACACTGAGGTATGCTAAAGGGAGAAGCATAACAGCTCAAGGATACTATGGAGGGGAAGATCTTTCTTGGGCTCAGTATAAGCATACTGCAACAGCCATGAAGATTACTGCCTTCTGGGATGTGACCATGTGTAGTACAGTAGACAGTTATCAATATTTCAGTGGGACATGATTCATCTACTTTCTGCCCTCAAGATGGAAGCAGCAGGTTCCTCCAAAATATCTGTTATGACCTACCAGAGTAGGCAGTCACATTCCAGTAACCTTTATAATCAGCACAGACATCCCTGAAACTTTCACAGTAACAGGTTTCTAAAATAATCTTTGTACTGTATGAGTACTGGTGCTTGGAAGTTGTTGTCTCAGTCTATGAATATGAAAAAAGATCAGAAAACAGCACAAACAAACCTCTTGCTTCTCTGGACTGATATCCTCATCCATCTTCTCGTCTTTAGCTTGCGGTTTCTGTGTCTCTGATCTTGCCTTAGGTTCTTGTCTTGTAGGCGGAGCAGCTGTATCCATCTCTTCATCTCCTGGTGCCTCCAAATTAATCCCAAGCAACACACTTAGGGTAGTCAGAACCCTCGTGTCATTCAACCGATGCCTACAAACAGATTATTATACATGACAGCAGATATTAGGTACACAAAGCAAGCATAATACACTTTCCAGACCAACATTATCTAATGCTACTGAACCAGACAACACAAACCAATGACAAAGACACACATCAGCAGAAACAAGACAGCCACACATTTCACATATAGCACAATTTATAGAATACAGACTAAACTGCAAAAACTATGTGCACAGAATAAAAAAAAAAAGATCCGTTGCTAAGTAATGGCTCTGTAAACAACACCCATTGCTACGCAACAGATTCCTAACATAGACCAACAGACTAACTGTGAAGAGGTGTTCACTATGCAGAGTCCATGTGAGAGTTGAGTGACACAACAATAGAAGAACTGTTGGAAGCAGTGTTCTCTATAGAGTCCATGCTGAGGTATTATAAGCAGGACAAGTCTACAGTTTAGTTCAATGGGAGACAGTCAGTGGCCAGTAAGGGGCACAAACACAAAAGCTGAGGAAGTTACAGTGTTGGAAGCTGTTATCAGATGAGTGGCGAAGACACAGCAGACTGAGAAGACTTAGTGCATGTTGTAGTGAACTGCAGTGTGTGTGAACTAGTGATAGTGATAGTTACTTGTAGTTACTTTCTGCAAGGGTTCAGTAAATATAATTACCAATCCACACCCTGTCTATAGTCTCTCATATATATGGCAATATCAGCCAAAAAGAAAGAGGCATTTCAGATAATCTCTGCAATGATGCAATTATTCTGCTCTGTAATACCTGTAACATATCTCAATAAACCTAACACTGGAAAGGGTGACAGTCTCGATGATGACATCACAGCAGAAATTAATTGCAGTTAATTTATCAGCTGAAGATATTCAGCATCAAATGAGATTGAATCAGTATTATGTAATGCGAGATGTGGAAAGAACTGGAGATGAAATGAAGACCTATTTAAATGATTATCTTGGCATTTACACAGGAGAAATAAGTAAAGCCACGAAAATCTCAACGATAAAAAATCAATCATGTTCTTCATATGAAAAAGAGAGGAGGCTATTGCCATTTAAAACTGGTATCCATACACACCTGCCAACATTTCTGGCATTACACTGGTTTCAGAAGCTTTCAACATTACGGGACTGAAGCAATTTCATTGTACTTTTATTTTCCTTCAATTAAATATAAAGCGTGGAAGAATTTTCTTCTCAAACAGAATACACAAGAAGTTGTGATATGTCAATATCAAATTCTGGAAATTCATAAATAAATAAAAATTTTCTTTAAATGCTCAAACATACTCTGTATCTGCTGCACTGTTCATTAAATATATTTTTTTTACACAATTCCACATTTGTTCAAGCAACACCAAAGAGTAATTCATAAATCACACATTATGGGAAACAATAAATATGCGGACAGAGGCCATAACAAGGATTTGAATGCTTCTAAGGAGACATGCAAAAACCTAAAAGAGCAAACAGTTTACAAATTTCCTTCTATTCATGTACATATACCAAAAGCCATGTTAAATAATTCACCAGTAATTTAGCTTCTATCTAAATATATATCTGAAACAATCTGCAGTGCTCAGCATGCCACTTGAGGCATACATATCAATGGATCAATGTCACTGGTCTATAACAACATAAGAACTGCACAACTCCGCATACAAGAGGATGCAACTGTGGAAAGTTTTACATTACTGCCTCTGAGTGCATTGGATGGTCTCAGTGAAAACACTAAAAACCTTATCTTACAGGAAGATATGAGCAATGAGCACATTTTATGACCTTTAAAGTTTTATTTCATGTGTATATATATATACATCTCTACGCATCTATTTAAATGTAAGATTATCATTCCAATTTTAATACATTTNCATGAACTTAAATCAGTGCAACAGGACGCTAAAATATAACACTGAATATATTAAATGAATAGAAAATTAAGTGCATATAGTAAGTTGTCCTTGTGCTTAACTAATTATGCATCACACCATGAAGGTGTATGGGTGAGTGGATGTACAGATCCACATTTTCTTGACCTTGGCACTAGCTGGAGGAAAGTGGTCAGCTTCACATTCTGGCCACTTTAACCCTGTGGAAAGAGCTCCCGACACCTGCTGAACAGGAGATTGGGTGGAGCCCAGAGCCAGTCTGGATGACTTGGAGAAAATTGTTGACCCTACCACAACTCAAACTTCAACCCCTCGGTTATGGCATGGCCGTTGTAAAACCAACAATTTACTGACATGTATGTTAAGTTACTATTGCACAGTGGCAGCCAAGAACAATCCCAGGTGAGTTCATGTAGGATTTGTGATCCACAAAGTGGCTATAGGACTGGTTGCCTCTCAGTATTTAGGTTTTCATGCCAATTCTCATTCTACTAAATGTTCCTTTCCCCTCATGTCATCTAGGGAGGCTCATGCTTGCTTGTGGGTTAACTACAATGGGGCTCAGTGACACCCCACTCAAAGAATAAAAACACTTTCTATGCATACAGAATCAAACTTAAATAAAAGTTTTCTGATAACAATTTTTTTTATTGCTAGTGGGGTGGGACTAAGTCCCTTGTGTTGCGGCCACTTCTGGCCTATTGTACCAGCCCCAGATGATAGGTGAGGGTGATTGTGGAGCAATTGGTGGAATGAAGATTGGCAGGGGAAACTAAAGTACTCTGAGAAAACCTGCCCCAGCAGCACTTTGTTGACCACAAATCCCACTTGACCATACCCACGCCACCGTGGTGGGAAGCCAGCGACTAACCGCTTGAGCTATGGCGGGTCAAATCTGGTAGCGCTGGAAATCTAACCCGGACCTCTGGATCTGTAGCCATGAACTTTGACCACTAGACCACAGAGGTGGTCTCTGATAACAATACTGTGACATGATGCCTACAAGCCAAAACAGCAGAGCCACAGTGGGTGTTCACTGCTAGGCAAAGATCCAGTAAACAGGTTCCCGCAGAAATGAACACACAGGCAACAATACAAGAATTGCCATTTCTAAGCAGTGACGAGGTAAACACATCTCTGTGACAATATAGGAACTGTTAGGAAGCGGTGTTTTCTGCTGTGGCCTCCCTGAGGCTATATACCAAGGATCCAAGGCCAGCAGAATTGGAACTGAGGGAATCTCTTGAGAAGGCAGTTGAAGATGATTGAAAAGAGATGGCAAGAAGGGAATCAGGCTGTGATGTGAATAGTTTATGTGCACTGTAGTTACAGTGAGACATAAATCCGTTGCCAGGATACGACTAGTGAAGATTGTGAAGACTTAGCATGTCTCAGTGGTTTGTATTGTGGAAATTAGCAGTAGTGTTATAATTACTTGTAGTTATGAGCTGCGTGTTAAGTCGTCAATAAATCCTTTCACCAATCCAAACCCTGTCTACAGTCACTAATACACGTGAAAATATGATGTAGTTTAAAAGTACTGTTGTAGACTGCTCTTTTAGTGAACAGGATATGGAACCATACACACCCTGTTGGGCCCAACAGACAGGTTTTCTTCCATACCCTGTTCATCTGAAGATGAGACTAGAATCAATTTCTAAAATACATCTGTTTAATAAATAAAGTTCAAAATAATACTTTTAAACAAATGACAGAAGATTTTTACTATTTCCAACTTCTGGTGGTATTTAATTCAGTGTTTCGTCTTCTAAGGTTATAAAAAACCCTCTGCCAAATACTTGCAAGTATGCATGTCTCAGGGCAAAATTAAATAAGATCTAAAAGTTTGTGATGATTGATATTGTCCAGAAACATTACATTTCAACAAAATTAAGATCACTAAAAAATGAGAAGGCTTCCAGTTATCTTCATTACTATCTGAGAGCACACATTCAAAAAATCACCTTAATACACATATAAATACATTCAACAAACCGTCACCTCCATTTTTTGCAAGATATCAAGTGAGGTTAAGTGTTTAATATATAATTTCATCTGGCTGTGATGCATCAACTTTATGGTAAAAGGTAAAGCTATCCCTGTAACAGGCTTTGGAGCACCACTGGGTCATGTGATGTCGAGACTCCCACATTTTCTAGAAAATCAGTTCACAGATAGCACCTCTGATTATAGCTTCTGTGTTAACTCAGTCAAGACAACTCAATTGTCAAAATACCAGAAATTCAGTGAGTTAAAGAATTCTTTCACAATCACCATTAAAATAATAAAGTATGTAGTATGAAGGCAAAATTACTGGATCTGTTATCTCATTACTGCACATAACAAGCAGTAAATGTGTTTTCGGCATGAATAAAGAACCCTGCTTTTTAGCAACCACTTTCACTAGCTTGCACGGCTGCAGATGTAGATGGTAGCCTAATATCAGTGTTCACTATTGCCAACTAAAAGTGCCATCACCATCACGTAACACTCACAGACATTAAAATATCACTGGATCAAGTTTCTCCTGATGAAAAACTTTATAGTATCAACAAAAATTATAAAAGCAAAGTTACCTTACCCCAAACTATTTGGGTTGCTCTGAAGATCTTGCACTAATTTAATATAATCTGGATCGTCCAAATATGCCCGAGTACGAGGATCTGCTCGAAGTCTAACAAACAGATCAGGTACTGAGAAGGGATTGGCCATTCCCTTATTTCCAGTTTTCTGAGCTCTAACACCGTGCAATGCTTCCTTCAGTTGTGCATTATCAGGCTCATGAACAAGCCCTTCTTCATATGCCTTGATTGACTCATCAAATCTACCAAGGTAAGCCAAGGCACTACCTTTCCTTGAATAGCCCTGAAAAAAAAAAAACACATAAATATTTCATTCACTTCGCTGCATCCATTTTCGATGAGAAACAAACTGAATAACTAACCTTCCCCCAGTCAGGTTTCAGCTGAATGGTCTTTTCTGCATCTTCAAGAGCTGGACGGTACTTTCCAGCTTTTGCATAGGCTGCAGACCTATTGCTGTACAACACGTGATTGTTTTTGTCTAACGTTATGGCTTCTGTATAAAATCTGATAGCATCATCAAACTTGCCATCCTGAAGAGAAGCATTGCCCTTGTCTTTTAGCACGTTCACCTGCAATAATTAATTACACAAATAAGATTCGATTTTCTGTTGCACCAATAACTTTGTATATTGCAAGGAAGGGCCAATGCATATTAAATTCAGTTTAAAAGTCGACCACGCTTTGCAGCATAACCTTATTACACTCGATTTGCTTGTTACAAGTACACACCAATGTAAACCGCGAACACACACAATCTCCATTCAAAACTAACCCACAATTTTGCTTACCTTCTCCATGATTACTACTGATTACTACAATTCGTAACACTCGTGCAGGTCGTACTTTCCCACTTCTATGCTTCCGCACATTAAGTTAAGAAACGTCTGGAACAAAAGACGTCTTAGATCGCGTTCTAGTTGTGCTGGCTCATGGGTGTGATTCTCGAATGTTCGGTTTCTTTTGTTTCTGGCACAAGTTTATTTGTAAGGATGTTTGCTAGTTAATAAAACATACATGCAATGAAAGAAGCTTTAACAGCATGCAAAACAGTTTCGTTCATGCTTTAAAGTATATTTAATGGTACTAGCCCAAAGACGCATTTAAGTCATCAAGTAAGCCATTGAACACACAATGGTGCGTGCAATCGAATGCAAACGATTGAATAATTTCTGACTTACGGGGTACTGACCATACTGACCATACTGACCATACTGACTGGGTCGACAGCAAAGAGTATAAAGTTTAAGGTTGTCCATTGCTTAATTAAGCACCAATCCATGAAGGCAGAGCGGGAGTGGAGGTCGTGGAGGTTTAGGGCGGCGTTGGGAGGAGCCGTGCAGTAAACTTCACGCACCAGCCGCTTTATACGCAGAGAAAGAGCCGTCGATACTTCCTGAATAGGAGGCTGGATGGGACCGAGAGAAAGATCTCTTCCTCCACCAGGAATCGAACCCCGATTCCTCGGTCGTCTGTCCTGCAGCGTAGTCGCTATACCAATCGAGCCATCCCAGCCCTGTATTATTGCAAAGTGATGAATTCTTAGTGAGATGCTTTTAAGTTCTTATGTCGATGACTGAAGAATTTTTCGCCTATATGTAGCTTTTTAATCTGGAAGATATTTACCGTCTTGTGCTAGGCTGTGTTTCTCAATCGCTGGGCTCTGGCGTCAATTATACTGGACTATCGTCATATAGAAAAAAGAATTTACTGGCCTGTGGTCTGACAAAAGTTGAGAACCACTGTACTTGGCCATACAGTGAAAACATATTACTAAGACTACTATCGTCTGAAGAGTCTGTGTCGCAGACTACTGGAGCATCCTGCTATCTCCATCTTTATGGTAGACACTGAAGATGAAGACAGCAGGTCCCCAAAAACCTGAGTACCTATTTATCAGGCAACAGGTGTCACTTTTCAGAAAGCCAAAACATGGAAGACTGGGATTCTGAGAGCAGTAGCCATGAAGATTACTTTCATCTGGGATTGAGCTGTGTAATTTTGGGAGAACTGATCACTTTCATCTTCATGTTGGATGTGGTCTCTTCTGAATATTGATTAAGATTTCATTCATAGGCACATTTTAGTTCTATTTTATTGAAATGCTTTATTTACTTGTAGGCTGATGACAGCTCATTTGAAATCTACTTCTTTGACTGCAGCCTGAACAGGATGGCCTAGCAGTAACCTGCTACTTATATTTTCTGTCCCTCCAGCAAACTCTAGGATAGTACCTGCAGTAGACTACAACGACTTCCAACTCTTCATCCAATGCTACATAGTTTAGATGCTGAGAGTGTTTTAATAAAAAATGTAAATCATTTGCTACAGTTTAACTACTAGACCCTGATAGCTACTGCCTAGCATGATATGCCTGTCATTGGCTCAACGTCTACTCTTTCAGAACAGGTATAAGCTGGAGAAATCTTAGAGCAGCAGATGCAATTTATTTTTAGAATGGATTACTGTGACCTTCTTACCTTGTGTTCAAGGCTTGGAAGTAGCAGTCATAAAACCCTTTAAAGAGTTCTGGGATCTGGTTTAGGAGTTATGACCTGACCTTACCTTACCAACTGGACTGGAGCATCTTTGTGGGCCTTGGCCTCCTGCAGCCTCCTGCACCAACAGCTTCCAAGCATCTGTGTCCATTGCAGTGGATCTCCAATCTTTAATTTTCAATATCCTAAGGTGTTCTGTGACCTCACCAAACCATCTCAGTTTTGGTCTGCCTTGTACTCTTTTTAGTATGGATCTTCCATGGCATTCAGTTAGCATCCATTCTTTCTACATGTCTCAGCCAGTCAATTCTTCTTGCCTTTATAAATCTAACCATATCTTCTTTCTTCAATATCTCATCTATCTCTTCTTTGTTTCTAATTCTCCACTGCTAGGAGTTATGGACATTTGTTTGTAATAAATTTATAGCACTGATTATGGTGAGTATGATTTTTTGGATCACACTGCTCCGATATATTGGTGGACTTCTGAAATATGTGGCATGAGAACCCGGAAGATCATCCTCTTCATGTGTTTCTCTTAATTAAGTTTTGTGTCAGTGCACTGGTGATGATACATGTACATAAAGTATTTGATTTCAGATCACATTTATTTAATTTACAGGATGAATAAACACATACAGATAAAACTGTTTTATGCCAAGGGTCACTGATATGAAGAGTTACAGAACCAGAATTCTTGACAAAATTTCTCAAACAACTAAAGAGAGATAAAATTTTAGGTTCTCACAATGTGAAAGGATTCTAGTCTTCTGGAATGTGATGCCATGTAACTGGTAGATGGTTACCAGTGTTTCTGAGAAACTCTTACTCCAAAACATTGATAACCACCTATCAGGCCACATGGCATCCCATTCTGCAACACTGCAGCTTTAACTATAAACATATACCATAAGAACTGAAACACAGAAAACATGGCTGTAACAAAGACAATTCTTTATTAAGCTAAAATTATTTAATGTTTTAATGAAAAAAAAAAAGTAATTTTCAATAAACAGAAGCAAGTCAGAATCACTACAAGATTCACGTATCATGTAATGAACAGTATCTTAAAAAGAGACAGCACATATGACAAATTTACAAATGAGTGGTTAGGGGAAAATGTGACATTTTATTAGACAGAAAGCTCCCTTATTCTCAATTGGAATGTTGCCATTTCAGAGCCTTGGTGTCATACTGTTATTTTTGAAAACAAACAAAGAATTTCTGTACAAAAAAAATTAAGGTTCAGAACATCTTGAATATCTGTACATACTATTTATAGGAACTTACATAAATACAAGAGTGAGAAAGGAAGCACAAGAATGCTTTCTTTTCTTTGATGAGATTCTACAGTGCACTTTCAACTCGTGTACATAAAGCCCAGCTGCCAGTGTAACTTCCAATGTGCTTCCACTGCCATGCTTCCTTCAGCTGAACTGTTCAAGCTTTGAATCTCCACACTGCTGGTCAACAACCTTGTAGTGTTTAGCTCTGCAATTTCTCTCCGTCTGGATTCCAGTGTCTGACACAGATGCTGCAGACAGCATATCACTGCGATCCAACAATGCTTCCAATTCCTCATCAGTGAACACTGTAAATCGAGAGAGAGAGAGGAGAAAGAGATTAAAAAATGACAAGTTGTTCCTGAGGGCATACAGGGGGGTGTGGAAGTAAAGCTCTGCATATTCCATTGTCAGCATCAGACGGCTGTGAATGCTCAATTTCATGCTCCAGCCATTTTATCCCTAAGGAATACTGCCAGTATCTATTTGGATAGGAGGATGGGTAGGTCTAAGAGCTGGTCCATATATGTGACAAAGAGAAAATTCACAAGCAACCGTCTTGGAATTGAACGCTATTCATCTGACAAAACAATCAGCCACGTACTGATCTATCCTGACCAGAAAAAAAACAACACACAAAGCAGGGTTTCAGAAATACAACTTAATCCTCTGTGTAGCATAAGGGCCACAGAGCTATCTCTGAAGTCTCACCAATGCTCCTGCAGTAATTTTACCATTATGGACATTGAAGTGCTATTTCAAGGTCATGAAGCATATCACTTAAAGGTCTCAGTGGAACAAGAGAGCCCACCCATCCCTAGTCTTGTAGAATGCCTCATACAAATGTCTTATAGAGAGATATTTAAATCCCGTATCTAAACGTTAAGATCAGAGAACAAGAATAACATATTTTAATTTGCTCCTCCAGCATATACACGACAAAGAATAATTTCTTTATTGTTACTATAATACATTCACATTAAAGCTGAAAAGTTTTTGCCACTGGTTCTAACTAAGCAGTGATGGACAGGTGTGCATACGTGGTCTGACAATAAAGTTCGCGTACTCATTGCAGTGAAAGTGCTACATACCTCATCGTTGAATATCACTGTGGTCTCCTTCAAAGTACTCCCCTTGGGAAGGTATGTACCAATGCCAGGGCCTAGTCCACCCTTCAAAACAATTTTGGAACTGGTTTTGTGGAATGGCATTCGGAGTTCCTGTTTTATTGCTCATTATATCATCAATGTCATCTAAATGCCTTCCTTTCAATATATTGTGNCCAAGCGGAGCCGAAGTCAGCTGAGTCCAAACACACTGGTCGCTATTCAAAGTGAGTAAACAGCGGTTGCTAAGCAAAGCGAGTAAACAGTTGTTGCTGGCTTGGGAGGGGAGAGTGGAGGGGTAATGACTCGCCTATTACGCGAGCGCTACATTACCACTACGTGCCGCTAGGGAGGTAGGGGTCAACATGTCACAATATCCTTTATCTTTGGAAACAGAAAAAAAGCCACTGGGGGCTAGACCCAGTGAATAGGGAGGGTGTTTCAGCACAGTTATTTGTTTACTAGCTAAAAACTCCCTCACAGACAGTGTTCTTTGGTGAGCTCTTTCGGGACCATTCCTGCACACACCTTCCTCATGTCAAGGTCTTCAGTTAAGATTTTCCTGACTGTTTGTGTGTCTATGTCTGTGTGCTCTGCTATGCTCATGACAGCCAACAATTTTCACACAAATAATTTGATGAACTTTTGCAATGTATTCTTCAGTTCTGCTTGTTGCTGGCCATCTTGCTCTCTGTCAGAGACACTTTCTCCTCCTTCAGAAAAAACGTGTCACCCACTTGTAAACTACTGTTCTCTCTATAGCATTATCACCGCAAACTTGCACTAACATCTCTCTGACTTCGCGTCCACTCTTGCCAATTTAATAAGAAGCTCAACGTTCTTGCGATGGCAAACCAAAACATTTTCAGACAATAATAAACGTCACTCAGATAGAGAATGCCATAGATCAATAACAACACAACTGTGAAATGCCAATGTCATCAAACCATACTGAGGTTTCTGTCCACTGCTACATGGCAAGCACACAGTGGTCAGTTTGTGAACATTATTGTCAGACCACATATTTCTGGGGCCCTCACATAAAATATCACAAAAAAATCAGGCTCTAATGATAACAGATCAGATTTATATCCTAGAGATATTTAGTTAAGTGTCATGTGGAACAGTAAAATCAGTTCAGACAGCTTGCTTTCCAGGTAAGTAAATCAGAGGCCAGGAGATGATCATTTTGTTCCAAGGCAAGTTATCATAATGAGAATGTAATATACACATATATCTGATCTGTTTCATTCTGGTCCGTCACACTAATAATATTATAAAAGATAAAACAACTCCGTCCAGTGTGACTGTTGAAGTTTTTACTACTTCAATTCTTAACACCCTTACATGTTTCGGTCCCTATAGACCATCATCAGAGGGACATCGATACTCTTTGGAGACCACTATTACAATGGGTGTTCTAAATGTTAAAATACACATAGAATGTTTGTAATGCACAATATATACAAAATCCAAAGTTTTCACAACTACAGCGGTTGTCTTGATATATTGAAGTTTTTTAAAACTTTTGTTATTTAAGTTAAAATTTATAAACCAAATAGGTTCATGTCCCTTCTCTTATCGCCTTTCTTGACAGCATGCCACGAACAAACACAGGATGATATCAAAGAACCTCCTTCTCAAGAAAGACAGGCAGCACAAGTTCAGCCCCCATCAAGAAAGGCGATAAGAGAAGGGACACGAACCTATTTGGTTTAGAAATTTTAACTTAAATAACAAAAGTTTTAAAAAACTTTAATATACCAAGACAACTGCTGTAGTTGTGAAAACTTTGGATGTTGTATATATTGTGCATTACAAACATTGTATGTGTATATATTTTAACATTCAGAACACCCATTGCAATAGTGGTTTCCAAAGAGTATCGATGTCCCTCTGATGATGGTCTATAGGTACTGAAACATGTAAGGGTGTTAAGAACTGAAGTAGTAAAAACTTCAACAGTCACACTGGATGGAGTTGTTTTATCTTTTATAATACACATATATCGATCACAGGAAATATATATACAGCATCTGAAATAATCTTTTGCATTCTACATATAAGGTGCAGCAGAATCGGTGAAGCATTATAAAAGTTTGTTCATGTGTCCGTCTGTTATGGCACGATAGAGTATGTGTATAATGGATCTCTAGGAGTGACTTTGAAGTTCAGCTTATTATGGAGCACTGGACAGCAGAAGTGTGTATGTGAGTATTGTAGGAGTTCTTATTCCAACAGGGAACAATACATTGCCATGATGTGTGCCCTAGACCCCTCATTCACCAGACCTAACTTCTCCCAAATCCTTTATCTAAGGATAAAACAAACTACTGTAAAAAACATTTAAGTCTACACAAATAGAATATATGTTAAAATGAAAAGCTTGAAATAAAATAACATTCCACTTTGCAAATAGTGGAATATATTGGGTCATCCTTGCAAATGACTCTGGCCACCATATAAGTAGCACTTTTTGCCCGGAACTGTCATAAGCGTATGGTATTTGTGACGCACACTTTTGCACGCAAAGAAATTCCATACTTCAGATGATAATCCTGACATTCACAGTGTAAATATGTAATGAAGTGAACAACAATCTGAGTGTGTACAACTAAAAGAACCAAGGAAAACGAAATTCCTTGCATGGAATTACTTACCATAACCATTAGAATGGATCACTTTCTGGTGGTCATGTGAATTAAGAAGGTCCAGCAGTTCTCGAAGATTGATTATGTCTTCCTGTTCCCTTTTGTTAAGTTTAAATAAGCCTGAGAAGGAAAAATGTAAGCGTAAATCAAAATTCACAAAACAGATATCAGAAGGTAAAGCAAATATGTCAACACACATACAGCCCCCAACTTGCAACAGAGAATGATGTGTATGATTTAGTGTAAGATGTCATGGTAAAGGTAAAGCTATCCCTGGAACAGGCCGTGGAAGCCCATATGGTTCTAAGACATCAAAGTTCTCACATTTTCAAAGGCAAATGACTCACAGATGGTGGTGAGGTTGTCAGCCTTATGCGCTGGCCGCCCTTTACCCCCAGGAAGATCCTTGGTACTCATTACTGTTAGAGGCTGAGTCAATCTCAGAGCCACAGTGTGGCTGGAAGGATTAGTTCAATTGAAAAATCCAATGACTTCATCAGAAATTTAACCCATGACCTTCCAGCTTGTAGTATATTGCATTGACCAACTATGCTACTGTTTATTCCTCAAATCCTGTGTTACATATGCCATCTATTCCTGAACATTATATAGAATTTCTTCCTTCAAAATATCACATACCAAAAAGCACCTGTGTATTACATTGACACAAATTTCACTGTCAGGTACTTTATATCAATAACAGGGACCAGTCGGTGAGATCTGAGACTCCAACAACATGAAAGGGAAGATGACTGTCTTCTGGAATGTGAAGCAGTGCAATCTGTCCTAAAGTTACCAATGTTGCAGAGGAAGCTGCTGCTTCAGTCTTGCTGTCACAAGACACCGAATGTATACACACCCAGAGAAGAAACACATACACGACACTGTACGATTATATAAAGATACATATCGTGGCAATAGCATACCAATAACCACACACTAACAACTCGTACATCATAGAAACTTGTCTTTGGGCTTACTACATAGAAACCTTCTACAACAAGACCTACAAACAACATACATGCCAAATTTTCTACACTCTACCATTGGAACCTTAAATATATAAGTTGGCATACACATTCTTAATCCACCATTTGTAATCTTTAACATTATTTTAAACATTTTCAGTACACTTCTAATATTTTTTAATAATATATTCAACACATTATAAATTTTGATACACTTGGTCGTTGACTTACAACCGACTTCCATTCTGACTGACAGGTTGTAAGTTGATCTGGTTGTATGTCGGCCATATATTTATTAACAGCATTTTTTAACTTTTCTAATCTTTTTATTATTTTTAAAAACTTTTACATTTCAATCATCTTTTATATATTTTGTGGCCGTAAGTCAACAACCAAGTGCATATGATATATCTTTATATTTATCTTTTATTTATGTATTCGCTACATCAATTTGAGGCGAAAGTTTTAAGTTAGTATATAATAGGATGCATTGCACTGATAAGGATCCATATCGGTATTTCAATGACTATACGTATTCCTTTGCATAACTGCCTGATCATGGTCTTATACGACCGAAACATGTTGCAGCAATAAAGGTCGAAATTTAAACTGAGATTTTGTTGTGTTGATGATAGACATAATTCCTATATACTAGGTGGTTCAAATATGACCGGGACTGATTTTTTTGTAAACAAGCCGCACTGCGCAGCAGCTGTGCAACCTTGAGAGATTGTAGCCACAACCTCCACTGTCCCTCCTGTTAGGGTTAGAACCTGTTCAGTGCTGTCTGGGAGTTGCTAGAGGGATGAGCGTACAGAAGGTACCGTGGAGCGTGGAACAACGCATTGTGATCAAATTCCTCATTGGAGAAAATGTCCCGTCCGCTGAAATTCACCGCAGACTCCAACAACAGTATGGGGAAGAGTGTCTCTCACGGACCCGTGTCTTTGAGTGGTGTAAGTGCTTCAGAGAGGGCAGAGAGCATGTGGAGAATGAACCGCATGATCGTTGGAGGCGAACATCCATCACCGAGCCGAACATTGATCATGCAGACGTGCTTATTTGTGAGAATAGGCGCATCACTATCAAGGAACTTGGAGTAATGCTGTCCATCAGTGTTGGTAGTGTAGAAGACATCGTGAAATACCACCTGCACTATCGCAAGGTGAATGCACGGTGGGTACCATGCACTTTGACGAACGTGAACAAAATGGTGCACATGCAAGCTGCTAGTTGTCTCCTACAGCAGTTTCAAGATGAAGGTGATGCATTTTTGAAGTCTATAGTGACCACTGATGAAACGTGGGTGCACTACTTCATTCCTGAGTCCCAGCAGTCATTATGTTGAGTGGCGGCATACCAGTTCTCCCAAACCCAAGAGAGTGCGGAGGAGCCGTTCAGCAGGAAAAGTGATGGCAA